TATTAATATTTTTAAATAATATTAATAATTACTTATTATATACATATATATTGCAGGATCTAGTTAATCTAAAAAAATCTAAGCTTTTTATAAATGGCTGTTATGTAAACATTCGCGCTTTATGAAAAAAACATTCGATTTTTTTATAATAAAATTAATAAAATTAAATATAAATTAATACACACATCTAATATTAAAAATAATTAAATAAAATAACACAAAAATGTAATGGATACTTATGCTTATAATCGTCGCGCTGTCAAGTTTGTCTACTGATGACATGTGTTTTCTTTTGCTTTTGATCTCATCCCATTCTTCTCCCACTCCGGCCGTGACAAACAATAACGAAAAATACTCTCGGCAGATCCGATGGAGTTCCCGCGATGGTCCATTATCCCCGAATGAATGGTGGTAGTTTTTTTTTTTTTGCGAGAGCCGTCGCGTCGACGCTATCGAAACGGATGGATGTCGCGACGTTGTTGCTGACTCATCTCATCCGCAATAGTTACGGGACATAATTGCCCGTGACAATCGCGTTTTGGTCGCGCCTTAATTGATAACACTCGGTGCGCTCCCCGCTCCGGGTGCAATTAGTGCGCGCGATCGGTCGAACGAGGAATCGGCGGATCACGTCCGGGTCACGGTGATATCTCGATCTTGTAACAGCCCATTGGCGTTTAATCAACGTGCGCGCAGTTTCCAGTGCCAAATGGTCGCGAGGGTTAGTGGAATCGTTACCGGAATTCCGCAGCGCGCGGCTGCGGAATATACGTACAGGGTGTATTCCATGTTTCTATTTTTCACGTTTTTTTTTTTGTTTTATTTTGGAAGGGGATAGTTTGAAAAATTTTCCCCTACCAACTTGTTCCTTTTTCGCAATCTCTCTCTCTCTCTCTCTCTCTCTCTCTCTGTGATCGCGTCGTAAATATTGCGTCGCGCAAACATAACTCTGTCCTCGCAGTTTGACGATTTGTCACCCATTCAACAAAAGTCGGCGAAAAGCATAGAGCTCGGAGTTTTTAATTAGTCCACACGAGCGTGAAGCGAAATGTTTTATTGCGTCTGGCAAACAAATGCGAATGGGGTAACAAAGTGCGAGAACTATTCTAGACATGCAGGAATCGTGTATTCGCGAATTAATATAACAAAATATAATATTTTCCCGTAACAAAAGTTCACCGCTTGAGACGAGAATGTATGCGTATTTTTTCCACGTTGCGTAATAATGACGCATGCGCGACTTGTTTCGTAACGAATTTTATCGATTGTCAGTTTAAATTTTGTTGACGATTCGCGGTGCAGTAGTTAACAATTGCATACGCGCGACCGATAATTTATAAATAATATTATAATATCGAGGGAGAGTGAGGGGACACACAAATTCACTGGTCATTACGTTTGGTCGACCGCATAATAATCTGTCGACCATCGGCGCTCTTCGCTGAAAATGGAAATACCGGTGAAATAAATAAAGAGCAGTATGAGGTGCGAAACGGACAGTGCAGCTGCAGTTGCAGCGCGACCGCAAGCAGCATAAAACTGCTGACGGCTTCAAACAAACCGACCGTTATTTATGCCATTTGCACGCGAGGCGCGCTCGCATTTGCAATACCAACTTTTTTGCTTAATTCGGAAGAGAGAAAAAAAGAAATACCGCCGCTGATAAGGACGCGTTCGCGCAGCGCGAATTGACGCGTAAATCTTTTACGGAGATATTATTATTCTTATCGCGCGCTGATAGAGCGTTAGGGTCGAGAAGAAACTTACATATTGTCAGTTTGTCAAGGAATTCAGAATTGAAAAGGAAAGTGTAGAAAGGGGGGAGGGCGTAAATCTGGAAGATAGAATTTTATATGTGCCCCCTGCCCCCTGTCTCCTCCCTTCTCCCTCTGTATAGATGTATACTTAGATAAGATTTTCTTAAATCATACGTGCGTTAAGAGATAAATTGATAAAGTCGCGACGGTAGAGAGAGACGGCAATTGTGACCAATTGAAATTTACGGAATTTCCAAAATAGAGAGGCGGTTACGCAAGGATATAAATATCGGGCTATATTTACGTACGGCTAGATATCGGCATTTCGTTATCTTGGCCGGGCGACAGTGCGGAAAAGCCGCAGTCAGTTGAGGCTTTTCGCTCTCGCGTTTTTCCGCGCGCTTGTAACTGGAAAACAAGCCCCGGGCCATCCTGCTCTTCCCATCCCCTTCGCCCCACGCTTCCTTGCACTTGCACCCTCGTTTTAGACGGCGCTGTCGATAAAACACTGTTGATTTACTGTCGCGGTACGTCGAGGACTTATCGCGAAATTGTGCGGATAGCGAGCTTTTACGGGAAAAGAAATGTCGATACACGGAAATATCTTTCGATATATATAAACATCGTTATTATATTGTAAATCACAAATCGTCTGAGAAATATCCGAAGTAATCCTTCTCTTTCGTGTAGATCGAACTACTAAACTTCCTAAACCACACGTTAATCAAGACGCAGATAAATCTCCTCCCGTGGCAGAGCAAAAGAGGATTATCTCTGATCGAATTAATCGATTTAATTTATAGATATCCGAGCGCAGCACGAAGATCTGAATATGGAAAGCGAGACTTGATAAGCTTAGGATGATCGAAAATTTTTGTGAAATCAGTCGCGTGTAATGTCTACTTTTAAAGTTTTTATGAAAATGCATTATATATTTGATGTAGATACGCCGTGAATTCTTAAAGAGATGCTCCGGGGGGAACCGCGTGACATATCACGTACTCGATTCGTCGTCGTCGAAGATCGAAATCGTGATAGTCGAATGTAGCGGTTCGCGACTTCGGGCGGATGAAGAGAAACGCGTTCTGTCAGCGTCGTTGGCGATCAACTCGACCCGAGGGGGTTGAACTTTCGATTGCCGTAACTCGGTAACGAGGATAAACTGGGTATTTTGAGCACGTGAGACTTCACGAACAGCTTACGAACTTTGCGCGCGTCCTTGTTAGATACATATCGTTCGAGTATCGTCCGGAGTTTCTCGATGGGAGTTGTTGCTGCAATCCTGCAATTCTCTTTCCGTCTTTATCGAAAGAAGAGTTTTACACGCAAGAATCGTTTCCATTTTCGAAAATTTTTTTGGGACTGGACCCATTTTTTTTTTTAAATCTGAACTGCGCGGTCACGTGCTCTTTCCAGATGTGGAGTTTCAAAATTAATGAGACGCGGAAAGAAAGGGAACGAGAGATAGAGAAAGAGAGAGAGAGACACTTGCTAACTGGAGCAAGGGTTACTTCTCTATTTGCAACTCGACGACCTCGATTAGATGAGTTCCGGGCGATCTCGCATTCATGTATATTAATTAGTTTCGTGAGTCTGCGGGCATCATGTCGAAATCGTTGCCGCAGCATCCTGAAATTATAAACTGCAATCAGATTAACCCCGTCGTTCTAGCTTGTTTATAACGTAAACATCGCGCTTTTCGCCCCTTGCACGCTTAGGGCACGTTGTATACGCGATGTAGTCGATTATATATATAGTCAATATCTTTAAAATTTAATACGTTGCATTGTTGAAAAACGTTTAATAACGATATTCATATTTGTCGAAGTAATTGGTAAATATTGTGAAATAAATAATTTGTGCTCAATATCCATCGACTTGTGTCGACAGTGCTTTTAAAATTTCCATCTCGCGTCTCGCAAATTATTGCTCATCGGGACATGTAATTATAAATAAAACAAATCGGTTAAATGAGAATACGTGTTTCAAGAATATCCAATTGTATCCAAATCTATAATACATACTGTTAAGCGCGATTAACTTGAATTCAATCGCGTTGCGAATCGCGACAAGTCAGATAAAGGCGTCGAATATAGACAAACGCGGATTTCGTTGAATATGGAAGAGGGGGTTTGTGAGCGTAGAGGATGGAGATGTAAAATTAGGCAATTAGACAATCGACGATAATTTATAGCCGCGCGCGCGTATCGTGCCAGTGCACTTGCCATTTGTATCGAGACGTAAATCACCGCTAATTTGTGCACGAACTACGATTATCCGCCGAGAATCAGTCACTGATACAAATTGCATCTTTCAGACATTATTGGAATGCGCATTATGCATTCGCGATATATATATTCGTAGCTCTCTA